TAGTTTCCCCGCCTTCCGGCTCCTTGTATTGCATAAAGGTTTTATAATATATTTTTTTCCTGCATGAGTCATCCCATGTTTCACATCTCAGGAGAGAGTGTGCAAATGTAACTAGACGGAGCCAAAAAAAGAAAGCAGTAAAACCGAAACGTCGAAACAAATGGCGATCGAGTGGCCTTGGCCGGCTTCCCGAGACGGGCTCCAATCGCCGGTCCGTGGGATTCCTTTCTAAAAAAAGAAATATAACTCAGTGGGACCCTTTGCACAAAGGACACGGAGGGACGAAATGGGCTCCGGGCTTCGTGGATGGGTTCTTTGACCCAGGGGGCTTCGTTCGGGAATCCCTCAATCGGATTCCCAAACCGTCGTAAGCGTGAGATGTCGTCCGAGACGGATCCAAGGTTTCCGGTCTGCGCCTTGAGACGAGAAAACGGAGCATGATCATAAGGGGGTTCTTTTTCCAGATCCGAGGCGGTGGCCCCTGAACCCTCCCCGGCCGGGTGCCCATCGGATGCGGGAACTCAGCCGGTGCTGAAAACCCTCCGCGGAAAGCAGGACTCTGGGCGGAAGATGATGATGGATCGACTCAAGGTCCCACGGACGAAGGAGCTGGAATTTGGGGGCGTCATAGGTGAGGAGAGAGATTGGGCGTGCGAAGAGAGGGGATGGGAGGACGGGTCACCCCCTGTTCCCCCAGTTTCTCTGACTTCCAACAAGCTTCTGCTATTGGAAGCTAGTTGTTCCCTCCTTCCCCCCCCCAATGAAACGGGAATTATTTATTGATTTATTTAAAATATTTTTATCCCTCCTTTTTCCCTTTCAAAAGGAATCCAGAGTGGCCTATTTTACTTTTCCGTCTGGGAGTTGGAAAGAAAATGGGCAATCTGCTCTGGGTCTCCCCCCACACCGGCCTCACGGGGTTAGTTAGGAGGGCAGACAAAAGACGAGGTTAACATAGCATCCACCGGTGGGCAATGGCCAAAATCTGGGATTTTAGGGGGGTGCCCCTCTGACAGAGGAGGCACCCTCGTCGTAGACTTTTGAGCAACAGTTGCAAAATGTATGTGTGTAGGATGGGTGGAAGAGGTTTGAAGGCCGAAAGCATTGCCGCGCTTTCGATTTTGGGTGGAAGCAGAAGTGTAGAGATCCACCAAATGGAGTAATGACAAGGTCCCCAGAGCAGGCCACCCCTTTTTCTCACCAACTGGCACTTACAGTCTCAATCACTCAGAATGACATGAGGAGGGGAAAAGAAGAAAAGTCTTTGTTACTTCCAGGTCCAACAGCGAATGGACAAACGTGACTGCTTTCAGCAACGGACTTCAACCGACCCAAGAGAGGGCTCTTTCCAACTGCCCCGCTCTTTATTCTCCTTTGCAGGGGCTGCCTTCCTGATCCTCTTTCTGCCTGCCACGGTCTTCTACCTCCTCTTGGTCTGCCAGACTGAGCAGGCCAGCCTCCTCAGCTTTCCTCGGCCTTTGCCCACTTTCCGGTCCTTGTGGAGCCCCCAAGATTTGGCCCTCGTCTTGGCCTGGATAGGATTGCAAGCAGGGCTCTATATGCTACCCATGGGGAAGGTAAGGGGTCAATCCTGGGGGTTTTTTTGGCAAGGGGGGGGAGAGGATCCAGCGAAGGAGCAAAACATCTGGACATGTCCTGGAAAGCTCACAGGAGGAGCGTTTTATCCACAGGGAATTGGTTCCAAACCCCCGCCAGTGCTGAAAACTGTGGATACTAGTGAATGCTACATGTAGTGTGACAAAATTTTTAAAAATCCATTAAAAATATTTTCACCTCGTATTACCAGAACTGGCCTGTAGAGGGAGACAAAGATCATTCTTCTTGTTGTCAAAGAATCCATAGCATGGTTTCTGCCTCCCTCTAGTGGCCAGTTCTGTAAATACATAGTGAAAATACATATTTCTAGTTTTTTGTTTCTTTTAATATTTTTAATATTTTCAGACTGTGGGCAAGTGAAACTGGAGATACCGATCCCATGGATACAGGGATCCTGCTATATAGCAGTTAGTCTTTAAGGTGCCATGACTTTTTTGTCTTATTTTTTTTTTTATGCCGGAGAAACTTTTGGAAGACTTTGATAATTTTCCACGCTAAAGACCCCTGTAGCTCGAGAAAACAACCCTGATTCAGGTCCCTCTCTCTCATCATCATCATCATCATCCTCTTGTTGTTTTCTTTTAAAAAACAGGTGACAGAAGGGATCGCTCTCCGAGACAAAAGTCGGCTCCAGTACCAAGTTAACGGTAGGTTGCGCTAGAAACGAAATCGATGCTGGAGTAAGTTCGGGCTCCTATCCCTTGTTGACTTGAGGCTGGAAGCGGAAGAGCTGCTCAGTGGTTACAGCCCCCAGGATGGTGATGTGTAAGCATCCTTTTCACAACAAGGTTAACCTACACTACATACGGGAAATGTTCTCGAATGTCGGAATGAACAGATATCGGGTTAAAGTGTGGCCTTTAGCTCTTTTAAGTGACCTGGAGTGACCAAAAACACAGTAAAAAGGGATGAAGTCGATTTATACAATATTACAAAGCAAGAAGACACAGCCACAGGTGTCCATTTTTACAGACATAGTCTTTTTTTCATTATAGTGTAGGACCCCCATGCACCCTCCCTATGGATGCTGAAAATTGCGGATTAGAGCAAACGCTGTTATAATAGGGAATGCTATACATAGTATTCTCTGGCTCCTTCTTGCAGCCAGTTCTAGTAACTTACTCTCTGAAAAGAGATTTCTAGGATTTTTTCCCCTCCCTGTTTTTAATATTTCCACATTGTGGATAAGTGAATCTGTGGATACTGATCCCGCAGATAACAGGGTCCTATTGTTCTTATGGGAGTGTGTGATTATATGATGTAGAGTATGAATTTTTAAAACTTGAGAATTTTATTTTTAAGCAAACCAAAGCAGACAGCAAGTAACCAGAAGATAAACCTGCCTTCCTTTCCCCCCCTTTCTCCGTGGCAGGGTCCCACGCCATGGTGGTCACTGCCCTGGTGGTCGGGGCTGGCTTGGGGGCAGGCCTCCGCCTCAGCTACATCTATGACCATTTCCTGCAGCTCGCCTTCTCGGCCACCTTGGTCTCTTTCGGGCTGAGCATCCTCCTCTACTTCAAGTCCTTGCTGGCCCCTGAGACGGCGCTGGCTCCGGGTGGGAATTCAGGTGAGGCCTTTCTGTTGGAAACCTCTTAACCCACCTGCCTGACCTACAGCTGAGAAGTCGAGGTGTCTCAGCAAAAAGCAGCTACCTATCCTGTTGCACAAGTTACGGCTGCGGAAAGTTGGCAACGTTACCAGCAGGGGGAGATGTTGAGTAATGAAAGACTTCCTCCTCCTGTTCTGCTGCTTGTCAAACTCTGTTTCCTTGCCTGGAAGCCGTGGGAGCCTCCGGACAGGAGGGAGGAAGTCTTTTATTTACTGAAAAACATTTCCCCCTGCTGGTGATGTCATCAGCCTTCTGTGGATGTCACACCTAGAACAGGATGGTGGCTTGCAAGCTCCTATCCTGTAGCACACCATGAGTGTGAGTGGGAGCATTTTTGACCTTCATTTCCCCTCCCCACAGGAAATCCCATTTACGACTTCTTCATGGGCCACGAGTTGAACCCGCGCCTCGGTTCCTTTGACCTCAAGTTCTTCTGTGAGCTGCGCCCGGGTCTCCTCGGCTGGGTAAGCGACGGTGGTGGTCGGAGAGAGATTTCCGCTGAACTGTCTTTACTTGGGGGAAAGTGTTTCTAGTCTTAACACAGTTGAAAACCTTGTTTTTTTTTTTTTCTCCCAACGGGATCAGTGCCTCCGTCTGTCCCGGATCGTGGCCAACAGCGAGAGGTCCTTCCGCCCATCTCTCGCTACGATTGCCATAGCTTTAATTGAACCACCTTCTGGTGCATTGAAGTTCCTTCCGATGGCGTTTCCTCCGCCTGCCGAAGGAAGGGAGCCGTAAACGCTGGCAGAAAGAGCCTTTTGGATGCACGAAGGGCCCATCGGGATTGGGGTGGCGAAGGATCGAGGGAGCTGTGGGTAGACCGGTTTATATTCTGTGTTTTTTCTTCCCGTCTCTTCAGGCCCTGATTAACATGGCCATGTTAGTGAAGGAGACGGAGCTAAGAGGCAACCCTTCCTTAGCCATGATCCTGGTGAACGGCTTCCAGCTTCTCTACGTGGTGGACGCTTTCTGGCACGAGGTGGGTTCAAGACCCGCCGGGAGGTTTCGCACTCAAGATTTCCGGCTCTCGCTCCCTTTTAGCGGCCGTTCTGGTTGTCGTGACGGGCGGTCGAATCCCTTCCGACTCACGGCGCCCCCTGTGAACGAGCCGTCTTCAAAATCCCCCATCCTCAACAGCCCTGCTCATTTCTGCAGCCTCGAACTCGTGGCTCCCTTGAGGGAGTCCGTCCCTCTTGTATTGGGGGTCTTCCTCTTCTCCCGCGGCCCTTCCCCCTTTCCCCAGCATTTCAAGCTGCTGTGAATCTCCGATCCCGGCACTTCGCGCTTTTTGCAACCAATAATCTCAAATGCAAATTTATTTATTATTTTTATTTATTTGATTTATCCCCCGCCTATCTGGCCGGTGAGGACCACTCTAGGCGGCTAACAACCATAAATGTTTACAGACAGCTTTAAATAAGCGTTACCCGTGTCCTCGTAAACTCCCGGACCTCTTATTATTCATTACGTCTGCATCTGGAGTCTGGGAACGCTGCATCGCCTAGATCGGAGGGGGGAAAGGAGGGGTTTGGGGTCTTCTTTTCAGAGAATCTGGCTTGACTCGCTTGCTGGAGCGAGCTGCCACGACCTGGAACACCCTCTGAAACCGACTTGCTTCCTGGTTACGTGGCTCACAAGAGTTGGTGTATTTTTCTGGGTCTCCTGTGCAGAGGGATCTGAATTGAGAGGGCGTCTTCTCGTTCTTTCTGAAGGAGGCCATCCTCACGACCATGGACATCGTCCATGACGGTTTTGGTTTTATGCTGGCTTTCGGGGACCTGACGTGGGTCCCGTTCCTGTACAGTCTCCAGAGCTATTTTCTGGTCACCCACCCACAGAAGCTGAGCCTTTCCATGGCTGGAGGCATCATCCTACTCAACGGTGAGTCTGAAGAGCTCTCTGAACATGTGCAGAAGGCCGCCAAGCCCTTGTTCCCTGTTCACTGTGTGTCTTTTTTGGGGGGGAGGAAACGTTACTCCAGTAACAGTCTAAAACGTGTGTCTACCTTCTTATTTAACCAGGAAGGATTGGATTTAAATCAAATGGATGTAAATGTAAAAAAAAAAACCTGGAAAAAAATGGGGGGGGGTGATTTAAATTTTAAAAATCAATTTTTTAAATTTTAATTATGATTTAACCTGGGTTGATTTTTTTTAAAAAAAATAATCCATGATTTTTATCCACCCTGTATTTAACTGTCACTCGCCCTGAGCTTCCAACATAAAATGGGGATTAAAAATCCATAGACTGTTAGTTTAAACGCTGAGGACTAGGAACTTAAAAAAAAAAAAGAGGCCTTATTCCGGATTTCTGTTATGTCAAAGATAAGAAGCCCAGCTCACAAAGCCTGGGTCTCTCGGACGTGATCTTTGCTCTTGTGATTGACCGGGAGATTTTGCAGAGTTTGGAGAGGGGCGTCTCCAAATGGGGGGGGGCCGCCCCAGAGATCCAGAAAAAAAGGTCCAGGGCAAGAGGAGAAATAAGCATCATGGGTGCGAAGCACAATCCTGCACCGTGAAAAGCAAACAGAAGTTGCTTGAAGGAAGTGCGCAGATGGGCATGCATTTGAAATAGTGCCTGTTACATTAATTTCTCTGATGGTGTTCTTTTAAAAATAATAATAGTAGCTGCAGAATTGCAGAGCTACGAGTAGAAGGGATCCTACAAATCATCCAGTCCAGCTGGAGGCTCAGCAGGGATTTGAACTCCCCACCTAAACCACCAAGCCATCCAGCAGTTGGCCCACCCCGGGGGGGAGCTGAACCCCCTACCCGCTGCTTATTTATTTTTCCACGCTGTTCTCACTGGCTCCTCTTCCTGCAGGTCTTGGTTATTCCATCTTCCGTGGAGCGAATTCCCAGAAAAACACCTTCCGTCGGAATCCTGCTGACCCCAAAGTGGCTGGTTGGTAATTTTCATAGCTTCTTTCTTTCTTTCTTTCTTTCTTTCTTTCTTTCTTTCTTTCTTTCTTTCTTTCTTTCTTTCTTTCTTTCTTTCTTTCTTTCTTTCTTTCTTTCTTTCTTTCTTAGTGTGTTTGCAGCTTTATAGAATCAATACCTTTTTTTGTTTTCCGTGGCTTATTATGATTTTTTTTTAATGCTAAGGAATGCATGTGGAATTTTCATGAGAATGGGTTGAGCCGTATCTTTGTATGTGTCCATGAAAAAGAATAATATCCATCCATCCATCCTACTTATATCCCACCTTTCTCCCCATAGAAGACAACAATAAAACAATTATCACTGCTTTTTAAATAACGTTATTAAAGAATATTGAATAGTATAACCCCCTGCATGCCTAGATCCTCCGGCCAACAAATCAAGCAGAATGTTTTCCTGATTTGGTTTTATATGTTGCTCTCTCTGATGCTGCCAACAGGGCTGACTCTGACGCTGTCAATTCTGTTAAGGGCTGCTATAACCCTGTTAAATGTTATAGCAACCCTTAACAGGGCATTCAGAGGTAAGTCGCCCTTGACTGATGGCAATCCCATGAATGACCTAACTCCAAAATGTACAGTGGTGCCTCGCTTAACGATTATCTCGTTAAATGACGAAACCGCTTGACGATGAAGTTTTTGCAATTGCTTTTGCGATCGCAAAACGATGTTCTAATAGGGAAAAATCGCTTAACGATGATCGGCCCCCTGCTTCCGGAACCGATTTTTCACTAAACGACAATTTTAAAACAGCTGATTGGCGGCTCTAAAATGGCCGCCCGCTGTGCAAAATGGCTCCCCGCTGTGATTTAGGACAGATTCCTCCCTTTACAGGCACCGAAAATGGCCGCCCCTATGGAGGATCTTCGCTGGACGCTGAGGTATTTAGCCCATTGGAACGCATTGAACCGGTTTTCAATGCATTTCAATGGGCTTTTTCGTTTCACTTGACGAGGATTTCACTTGACAGTGATTTCAACGGAACGAATTATCCTCGTCAAGCGAGGCACCACTGTATTTCCTCAGTTGCCCTGCTCAGCTCTTGCAGACTCGAGCCAATGGCTTCTTTTAGGGAGTCCGTCCATCTCGTATTGGGGCCTTCCTCTTCTCCTGCTGCCTTCCGCCTTTCCCAGCCTGATGGTCTTTTCCATGGAAATCTGACTTCTCTCGATGCCCCCAAAATAAAGATGGCCTCCGTTTCAACGTTTCTGCCTACAGAGACTGTTCAAGGCAGGATCCGATCTCGGCAATGACAGGCCTTGTCTATCTCTGTCCCATTTCCCAGGACTGAGGACCATCCCCACCGCCACCGGACGGCGTCTCCTGGTCTCGGGCTGGTGGGGTTTCGTCCGGCACCCCAACTACTTAGGCGACCTCATCATGGCTTTCGCATGGTCCTTACCCTGCGGTAAGTGGTATCCCATCTCCCCTAGTTATATTTCTGAGGAAGCTCAAAGATCCCCTTCTTCCTTGGAAGATCTGCCGAGCCGGGCAAGGATTCCAGATGCTCACCCTTCTTCTCCTTTCGCTTCCCTTCCAGGGCTCACCCACATCCTCCCCTATTTCTACGTGATCTACTTTACCTTCCTCCTGGTTCACCGGGAGGCCCGCGACGAGCGCCAGTGCCTGAGGAAGTACGGCTTGGCCTGGCAGGAATATTGCCGGCGAGTTCCCTATCGGATCTTCCCGTACCTTTACTGAATCTCAGCTTTTGCGTGGATGGAAATCTAGGATGTTTTTCTTTTCTGCTTTGACCGAGCTGGAGAAAGCGCCTGCTCAAAGAGGCTCCTGGCAGGGAAAAAAACCCAAGTGACCAAGTCCTGCCGCTGGGATGTTTTTTCTCGTGCAAATTTGCAAACTTGACCCATTTATTCTGCCTTCAGAAATACAGTAGGACCCCTCCCCCATATCTGCAGGAATTGGTTCCAGGCTGCCCCGTGGATGCTGCAAAATGTGGATAATACCAAACAGTATTTTAATGGACAGCAATATACATAGCCTGCTCTCTTGCTCCCTCTGGTGTCCAGTTCTGGTCACTTCATCTTTAGAAATATATATTGATTTTTCTTTGAATATTTTCAGACCGTGGATAAGTGAATCAGTGGATACTGATCGCATGGATATGGGCAGTCCTACTGTATAAGGGAAAAGGCGTCAAGTGAGGCCTTCGGCCACTGGAAATGCTTCTTTTTTTCTGCCTTTGAAGACTGCATCCTGAATCTTTTGGAAAGTCTTGCCAGCCGCAAGGACGCATTTTGGGGGGCTTTAAAAATAATTCATTAATTTTTTTTACAAGGTATATGAAGTAGGCACAGCATCTGCGGCCAGTATCGTTGGCTGAAGTGCTATACACGCAGCTACACGGCATAAGGCCAGCAAATCACCCATCATCCTCCTTGAATTGCAGAGCGAGCCACAGGAATTCCGTGGGAGACTCAGGAAGTTGATGGGGAGGAATGGGAACAATCCTATTTACTGTGTCTGAGTCTGTCATCAGCCTTACGCGGCCTAGCTCATGGAACAGGATTTCGGCCATCGTGGCGTGGAAGGATGGGATGTCGTTTCTAAGACGAGTGAGGGGGGGTCTTGTCTTTGGAAGCAAACAACCAGCCTTGTCAAACAAAACAAAAATCAAAGATTTTATTAAATACAAACACTATTAAAATCTGGATTTTTTAAAATAGTTTCTTTTGAAGCTTGAAATTGAGTGTTAGTGTGTGGAGAGAGATTTTTTTTTCAATGCACAAGAAAGTTTTAGTAGAAAGCTGGGTTCTGTAATAATTCCACACACACCCTTGTTACTAAAATATCACAAACAAAGTGAGCCTATGGGTTTCTCTGAACCGTTCCTCAGGCAGGAAAAATAAAATCAGGCAGATGGTCTGTGACCACTATCTTTAGAAGCAGACTGACTTTCACGATGGAAATCGCAGAGATTCGGTGGAATAAACTGCTGTCCACGCTGTTTCTTTACACGGCTCTCTCCCCCTCTGCAGACAGAAAAGTCGGATTGTGGCCCAAGAGTTAATAAAAGGAGCTTTGAAACACAAACGGTGCAGTATCTTGTTTTTTAAGAGCAGCTACAGAACTGGGAATAAATTATATACTTTCCTAGTAAGACAAAGGAATGGATTGAAAAATTTAAGGTAAAATACCGTATTTTTCGCTCCATAAGACGCACCTTTCCATAAGACGCACCAATTTTTAAGGAGAAGAAAACAGGAAAATATAATGTTTTCTTCGCTCCATAAGACGCACAGACTTTCCACCCCCCCTGTTTTGTGGGGAAAAAGTGCGTCTTATGGTGCGAAAAATACGGTAACGTCTTGGGGTTCTCAATATTCTACCTGATGCTGAAATAAGTTTGGTGGACATGGGAATCCTTGTATCGCAGATTTCTACAAATTTCAAATATATGCAATATTTTATTTTAGCCTCAGTGTGGGCCAGGGAAATGAATGCTTCCTCCCCCTCCTTATTTTTCAGCAAAAGGATCGCAGGCAACACAGCAGAATCTAGACATAATGACCGTTTGTTGGAACGGTAAACCAAACTGTAGTTTGCTGAATCCTGGCTTGTTGCCGTGTGCAGATTCTACCTGTAAACAAGCTGGCTTATAAAGCAGCCAGGAATCTCAAGGATAGGTTTGTTGGTTTATAAACCCTCTGGCTTGTCAAAAATTTGGAGAATCATGGTTTGTTTCCCTAGCAGCTCAGCCTGAAACAAGAGCCAATAAACAGTCAACAAGAAGAAAATAGGGAAATCAAAATATTACTTATTGGCTCAATGTGTAACTTTTTAGCTAAAGCAACAAATCAACAGAAATGTTGCTTAATGTGATGAGTGGCTAATACTTTACGCTAAAGTTTGTGTAGTTGCTGATATGTGGAGAATCAAAACTATCTAGTACTGAGCGGTTAACCTGGATTTGAGCTCTGCACGGGGCCTGGTTGTCAGTCATTTTTTTGGAAAGAGCGAGGAGGAGAATGCATAAATGCAACTTATTTAAATAATGTACTATACTGAAGTGCCTCCAGAGTCTGGAGTACAGGAGGACCTCCTTATCCACGGGATCAGAATCTGCTGATTCAGTTATCCATGGTCAGAAAATATTGAAAGAAAAATCATGGAAATATGTATTTCTAAAATATTTAAATTCATAGCGCCACCACGTCCCTATGAAAATATTTACAAGATGAAAAGAAAAATCCAAAAAAATATACAATGTATTTCTAAAGATGAAGTTCCCAGGCTGGGCCACTAGAGGGAGACAAACAATGCTATGTGCAGCGTTAGCTATAATCCACATGTTTCAGCATCTACGGTGTGTGTGTGTGATGGGACGAAGACAAGAAACCAACGGAGTGCCAACTTCAGAGTATTTACCGGCTAAATCCTAGTTTTGCTGCGTGGTTGAAAAGCCATGGTTTAGTTGCTACACTTTCAGTAAGAAGCATTCACAGTACGATAGTTTCTTTAATTTAATATAAAGCAGGATAGATTCCCGCTGGCTGCTCCAGTCGGAAACCGATTGCTAGGCTCAGTGAATCTTTCCTCTCTTTCAGTCGAGACATTCCTGGGTTCCCTCCTCACGGCTGATCTTTACGTTCCTGCTAAAGGGACGGGAAGTGACTTTTTTAAAGAAAAAAACTAAGAGAAGCTGTTCCTCTAGGAGGCTTCGAGGCCGATCCTTCCTCAGCTGTCGCCTTACATCCACCTTCTCAATTTGGGTTGTGTTTTTAAGGTACAAATTTAAACATCCATTGAAATAAGCTCCAATCAATACCGAAAGGCGGCTCAGCTTCAAGAACCCAATGTCTCGTTTTGCACCCTTAATTGGTTTAAAAGGAAGCCAGAAAGGAAGTAGATGGCAAGCAAGTTATTTTTAAAGACACCTCCATCCTTAAACCCAAAGCCACGCTCCACTTCAAGATAATTCCGTCTAGAGTCCCAGAAGACGGGCTCATCCGTAATCCCTCGGACATGTGACTCCACACCTAATCCAAGATCTGATCCCGTTTGCAAAGTCTCCCCCGTTTCCCAGGTGGAAAACCCCGTCCGGCTTTTCGAAGGGGAAAATCCCATTCTCCCCCCCCCCCAAACTCTCTGAGTGTCAATTTTTCTGCGCCTGGTTGACGGCTCTGGGCATCCTTGTATGCACAGCCTTCTTCAGTCCAATTCTTCTTGTCCATTTTTCTGCGCCTGGTTGACCGCTCCGGGCATCCTTGCATGCACAGCCTTCTTCAGTCCAATTCTTCTATCAGGGTTTTTTTGGGGGGAGGCACTTTGGCCCCCCACATCTTCTCCAGCGCCTGGGTGACAGCTCCCACCTCTCGGAGAGCGCTCAGGTGGGCTTGGCATTCGTGCTGCGCCTCCAGGGCAAGGAAGGTCAATTCGTCCTCGTGTTCGTTCACCCAAGAGAGGAGAAAATCGCATTTCTTCTTGGCCCCGAACACGCGGGCCCGGTCCTCGGCCGGCACCCGTCTCCTTCCTCGGCTCAGCAGCCGGGCCAGGTGGCCGAGGGCGGCCAGGGAAAACCCTTTCCGCTTGGCCTGGTTTTCCCCTGACAGGATCCGGGCCACGGCTCTCAGGGCGCCCCCGTCCCCCAAGGGGCAAGCGGGGTACCGGCCCGCGGAGACCGCCTGCAGGGCTGACTGGAGGGCCTCGGCCACCGACCGGTAGAGCTGCTTCGCCCCGAGGGCCCCCGAGACGTCCAGGACGGTTTCGCAAAATTCGGGGAGCAGGCCGGCCTCGTCCTCCACGTCCCCATTATAGAGAGCCAGGGAATAGGCGTAGCCGTAGAGCACGTTGGGCAGCTGGAAGCGAACCAGCGGCGAGATGGGCGCCGTGGTGAGCGACGCCAGCGGCGGGATCACGGCCGGTACCGAGTTCGAGACCTGCGCAGGCAGTGGTTTTCTGGTTTCCAGATGTGTCGACGGCTGGGGCGCCTCCTGTTCGCTTTGGGGGTCTTCTGGCTGGTTTAAAGGCCTCTCCTCAGCACAGGGAGGGTCCAGCTCCTGGATCAAGGCTGCCCCATGGGGGCTGGGGCAGCCCACCTCCCACCAAGGCTCCCAGGGGGGCAAGAGGGCCGCGATTTCTCCGCTGTCCAGCAGCCTCTGGAAAGCCTTCCGCTCCTCCGGGCTGAGACGCTCCCACAAGCGCTCCTCGGGCTCAGGATCCGGGCCGAGGCCTAGCTGGCCTTCCTCATCCCCGGGCTCGCGTAGTTCGCGCAGCCGCAGGAGGGCCTCTTCCAGCCGGCGACGGGAAGCCTCGTCCGCCCGCTGCCCCTGGAGACGGAGCTGAAGCTCCCGGTTTTGGAAGTCCCGGGCGCAGGAGCCGTGCTCTCGGTAGCAAAGGACGGAGCAGAGGCGGAGGTGGCACCGCGGGCAGGTGTACGGGGCGCGCTCCGCCCGGCAACGGCCGCACGTGGGATTCGAACCGGCGGCCTCCATGCTGCCTCTTTCCCCCCCCTCGGGAACACGCCGAGGCGCTCCGAGCGCGTCCGGAAAGGGTCGGAAGGCTCCGCCCCCCCCGAACGCTTTACCCTTCGGGAACTTCCGTCTGAGGCCTTCGTCCCGGGATCGGGCATTTCCGCCACGTCCTCGTGCGGCCGTTCGGACCCAGCGACAAGGGCTCGGAGAAA